TTGATTAGGGCCGGAGAAAAGTATTGTTGGGTGGTTACCTCCCTCCGTTTTCCCTCCCACCCACCCCTTGCATGCATCCCGTTTCGGTACAGTGCCACGTCACAGTGCCAGATCAGCAGTGGCACGTCAGCAGTGCCACATCACAGTGCCACATTCGCAGTGTCACGTCAGCAGGACACGACAGCTACAGTGCCACAGCAGATAAGTGCCACCTCGGCAGGGTCCCGACACCATGACGGGCCCAGCCCTGGGCATGGCGGGCCAACTGGCCAATGAATCCATCTCCGACTACAAGCTGCGGTTCTACGCCCAGCTCGCATTGATCGAGGCTGAAGAACAGCGGCAGCTGGCAGCCGAGACGGCCCGCCTACAGGCCGAAGCTGAGGCAGCAGCAGAGAAKCTGCGACTACAGACCGAAGCAGATGCAGATGCCCAGGCTCGCCGCAAGGAAGCCCAGGATCTGTTGCAGCGGCATGAAGCCAGCAGCATCGAGCGACTCAAATTCTGGCACTTTGAACCAAACGGCRACGAGGCAGATCAGGAGGAACAACACAAGGAGTTCCTCTCCAAGCTCGTGACCCGGTTGTTGTATGHGTGCAACTACCAACGGTCCGAGTTGGAGAAGCAGAACCTGGAACTACAGAACCTGCACCAGGCTCTGCAGACACAGCAACAAGAGATGGTGACTCTCTGCCGCATGGTGCATGATCACGACAGTGCTACACGGGCACTCAACGGCCGTGTCACGRACCTGGAGCAATCTGCACCAGATCCAGACGCAGTCGCGACCAGCAGTGCACCATCAAACCACCAGCTGGAACAACGCATGGACCACGTGGTGGCAATGCTGGGTGACCTTACCACCTTCACAGCACCAGCCACCATCAGCCAGCGGTTCGAGGAGCTGGATGCCAAGCTCGAACAGCAACAGTAGCCATCCGAGCACAGCAGCAGCTCGCCGAAGCCGTACAAGATGCCAAAGTTCCAGATTGAGAGATTCGATGACTACATGCATCAGAATCCGGTAGTCTAGTGGCAAGGATTCTCAACGGAGTTGGGGATTCATCAGATCCCCAAGGACATGTACATCAGCGCTCTGTTCCTCAATGTGAAAGKAGCATGCCAGATCTGGTTGAGCCACATGGCCACAATGCACAGCGTCGACGTGGCAGAGCTGTACAAGAAGATCAYCTGGGAAGAAATGACAAAGGAATGGAAGAAGCGGTTCATCGTCGACGACGCGCCTGCACAGGCCGTCAACCGCATCTTCACAATGGCACAGGGCAGCAGTCTGACACGGGACTGGCTCACGGAATGGCAGAAGATCGTGGCGACGCCCGATCTGGATCTACCATTCACGCATCTGCGGCRTGAGTTCTTCAACAGATCCTGTGCGKCCSTCAGCCTTGCACTTGGTGAGCGCGAACAGTACACAAGCTTTGCTGAGATCATCAACAAGGCTCGCGAGATCATCAAGACCAACAGGCCAGCTGCTCACGAGAAATCAACATGGCAGCCGACCTATGTGGAGAAGGTACGAACTGGTCCGCGACAGCAGCACTT